GTAAGTTTGAGAGGACTGGGTGCAAAAACGAATGCAAAAACAGCATTCAGGACATAAGACTTGCGCGCGCAACGTGATAAATGTTGTACAGCCACCACATAACAGTCTTGTCATGCACAACCCCTTACTGTATACGATTGCCCACATGGGGAACCAGTTACCAGCGATCACTAAATTGTCGACCACTTTGGCACAATTTCGTTCTCGTTTGAATAATTTCGTTCTCGTTTTTTTTTCCCTCGATTTTTGTGGAATTTATAGGGTGAGAGTGTATGAACTGTATTTTCTAACTCAAATTTTTAATATTAGGACTAGTTGCGCTTAGGAATATTTTATATTTTAATTCTGATTTTATCGTAGCGAATATAGTAATTGCAAGTAGTAATGTTATTGCAAATAGTCGTGCTCTTAGGAATATTTTATATTTTAATTCTGAATTTATCTTAGCAAATATAGTAATTGTAAGTAACAGTGTGTAAATAGTCCTGCGTTTTTGTCCTGAGTCCCTGACTCGGGAGATTAAGCAACCACTCCCCACGTTTACGACTCAAAATAAAGTTACCTTACCTTATCTTACCCTATGGAACCAACTTAAAATTTAACCCACAGACAAACTTTTTTGGGCCTGTTCAACAAAAACAACTTTGACACTTGTATGATGAGCTATCATATCGCAAGGTCACACAACAGCTCTAATGAAAAGGTTATGTCTTATTATAGTAGATTTAATCATCGTAAAAATCTCTAAGGGCACCGCGATCTTGCAAGCTTTTGATAACCGCAGATTACTCGTTTCACAGACAAAAAAATTTGGGCATGTTTTCTTTTTTCTTTTTTCTTTTTTTTTTTTTTCAACGAATTGGGTTCAATCTGAGACACTTAGACGCTTGCATAGCCTGCAAGAGCATCCAGCTTTCGGCTCTTGTTTCAAGCGCACAGTAAGGAGTGGAAAGTAAGGTAAGGTACGTGCGTTGCGAGCCCAAAGGGTGTCTGCGAAGGATGCTAATACGAACTCTTATATGACTTACATTTTCCCGGGTCTCCAATCGATGAAATCGATACCAATCGATATCGAGTCATCGATTGATATTGTAATCGATGACCAATCGATGAAGAGGATTTGTGTGACTTTTTATCGAATGATTATTTCATTTGTGTATTTGTGGGGCTTACTAGCCGCACTAAAAGTCGGCATCCGAGAAGTTTGCAGTTTGCGAGAACATATGACGCATATTTGTTAGCCAATTTGAGATTAGGCTGAAGTGCTTCGTAGTAGGTTACAGTGTAGTTTAGTGCCCTTGGAGCAGGGTTTCTTACTTGTTACAACGGTTATCACTCGCGTTCCAGTCTAGTGGACCCGAGTTCGATTCCAGGAGTCGTCGGCATTTTTGTTGTTGTTGTTGTTGTTGTTGTTGTTGTTGTTGTTTTTTTTTCTTGTAAGCCATTGGTCTCTTTCTTTTCTTGTTTAACCCTTTTGTTTTGGAGAAGAACATCCATGTACTTATTTTAGGTTTGGAATCGATAAAAACAAGGTTTTTGATATTACTCGACCTTGCTGTTTCGCATTATCGAATCGCATCCGATGGCTTACATGTTGTGTCAGCTTGTAATTCATAACAAAAATCCTGGATTCTCTGAAGATCTTTCGCAGCTACCCAGCGAAAGTTACGAAAGTTTTAAGTTTGATATGGTGAAGGTCGTCAGCATTAAGGATTTTTAGTTTCGTTTTGTTCGTAAGCATGCATTA